TGTCCTCACTCTCTCAGGGTCAAGGAAGGAGAAAGCCCTAGAGATCCCTTTGAGATGGTGCTGAGGTGTTTCTCTTCTTGAGGATAAAGCAGGTCATCAGGGCATGCCAGGGCCTGACAACGGCTGGTGACATCTCATCCCCCATGCCACCATCCCTCCTGGTGCCCCAGGAAACAGCCACCAAGCTCCCTGCAGCATGTGCCCCAAAAAGGATGGTTTCCTCTTTCCTTGCCCTAATCAATGAAGGAGGAAAATCCAAGTGGGAAAGAAAGCAAGAGAGAAGGTGCCTCTCTGCCAGAGGCTCCCAAGCACAGGAGGCAAGGACTGGAGCCAGGCCAGGGTATTGCTTCTGCATCTGCCTGACCAAGCTGGTAGGGCAGTCTGCACTGACCTCCTGGTCTCCTGGGATGGGGCCCAGCTTCCCAAGCAAGGGTAAGGAAAATCAGGCACATAAAGCAGTCTCCTGGAGCAGGATGTCTCCCTCTCCAGGCAGCAGGCAAGCTGCAGAGCAGGTACCCCATGAGGATCTTCTCCTTTCAGCAGAGCTTATGCAAAAAACTCCAATTTTTTTCAGTGGGGCTCAAAACTGGTTTGAAATCCAGGCAGAGACCAAGCTGGAATCTAGGCAGAAAGTGCAAGGGGTTGCCATGATCAATGACCAGACCTCCGTGCCACAATGTCCAAGCTTCTCTCCACAGCAGGGATCTGCAGCCCAGTAGCCAGCAGAATGGGATGATTTCATGTCGTGCAGTGTATTTTCCCCAAGGCCATGCCTTGGAAGACATGGTGGAGCAAAAGGAGCTCTGACATCCCTCCAACTTCAGCTTTGTCTCCAGATGGCTCTTCCACTCAGTGCCAAGAGAAACGAAAAACAATGCAAGCCCTGGAGTCTTGGGTCAACCACTGCAAAATTGTTAATCCCAGGGTTGCATCGCCCCATCTCTGTCATTTGTTTTTGCCACTGTGTTCTCTAGAAGCACAACAGACCAAATGAAGTTCCTTCATTAATTACCTCAAGATCCCTAAAATAGGGGAGCCCAAATCCATAAACTCTTCTCTCTGCTGACACAGATATAAAAGTAGTAAAGGTTTGAGTCCACACTCCAAAGATCACTCTTCAGATACAGAGCAGGAGAGGTGGTGGAGAAATCAGTGCACTGCAAATAGGCTCAACCAGAAGTCCCACTGGTACAGGCAAACAGCCCTTTCCACCTCTGTCTTCTTACAGTGACAAACCGTATTCGCTCTGGAAAGGGGTTTTGCAGCAAATTTTATTCTAACACTTCCACAATCTCCCTCCATCCTCCCAAACAAAAATACCATACCATCTACTAAAAAAAATGCTCCCTGGCCACTCCACAAACAGGTTTTCTTATGTGGTTTTTTTTCTGCCTCACCTCCCCTGATGCAAACTTTTCTAACCATAACAAGGGAAATCAGAGAGAAGAAAGGAAAGTCATGGGAAAAAGAAAAAATGGGGAACGGGAAGGGAAGGGAAAAAAAAAAAAGTTTTTGCCCTTTTGGTATGTTTAAAAAAAACCCCAAAAACTGAAGGTAGAGGAGTGACTCTCAAAAAGTAAAACAAAACTACAAACTAATTTACAGGACATCTTTTACAGTACTACCTGACCTCCTTGCACCTCTTCATGGCACTGCAAGTTGTAGAGTTCTTACTTGTGTAAGTGGGAAGAGGGGGAAACATATTTGAAGAAAAAAATTGATAAATAAGATAAAGTTGTCTAGAGAAACGAAAAACTGTACTTTTCCGCGTTAAAACCAATAGGGTCTTCCTTGGAGAGCAAGACTCTGAACTCTCATACAGTTCCCTAGTTTTCATGGTAAAAGGCTTCCAGCACAGACAAATACTAAAGCTTGATTGCCCCCACAGGGAGGCACCTTATCCAGCGATTTGCTACCATATAACCACCCCAAACCAGCAGTGGTGAGTGCAAAGGGGGCTACCAGCTGTGTGTAAAGCAAAAATCAACACCTGACAGGTCAACAAAGCCATAGCCATCTGCACCCAGGCAGGGCTGAAACCTGCAGAGAAATACTTTGTACCCAGGAAATTTGCGATCTGTGCAGACAGTGGGAGGGAGAGAGATGAACAGCTCAGAGCTGAACAGGGCAGCAGGACACCTTTTGCTTTCCTCATAAATCAGGATCATGCACCACCATCCCTGCTTTGTGTCAGGGGTAAGCTAAGACACAGCATGACTGTGCCCAAGCAACAGGACTCTTGCTCCAGATGCACAGCTGACCAGTTCTCCAGATCCTGCTGGCGCGACAGTTGAGTGCACGCTAGCCCTTTCTGTGAGGAGGAGACATGGGAGCTTGCTTTCACTCAACAAGACCCTCTGGATACCTGCCC